AGCATTGTTCCAACTATGTAGTTTCGGAATCATGTTCCTATACAATATTCCTAAGATGTCTTCAAATGTTTAGGGAGATTGACCTTAATGTTTAATCTATAGGTAGAGAGCCATAATTTCTATAGTTTTGGCTGATGTATATTGTGTTTTTTGTTGAATCTATAGTTTCTCCCATGTAATTTGAGTTTTTTTTGTCTTCATTCCTCCATTTATATTTACATATCAAAATAAACTGTAATATTCCCATGGATCACTTATTGCTGTCATACCGTTTTTTTTTTTTTTTTTTTGCACTTGCCTTTTAAAGGTCTCAGACTCTCAATGAAACTACTCAGATTGGATAGAGGTTGAGGCAAACGTAGGTGAAACACCAATCCTAGCATGAGACTTCTGAGTTAAAACTATGTGAGTGAAGGTGGTATTATTGTTTTACTTTTCTTTTAAAGATGTCAGTATACCCTGCATTCAATTTGTAAAGTTGCTTAGCATTTCCCATTTTCACTGTGTGTCTATTAACCTTGTATTTCTAATTAATCTTCATTAGGGAACTTCTTTTCAGAAGCTCAACCAGATGGTTTTATTAAGGTTCTCTTCTTTATTGTAGGAGAAATGAAAAGTTAGGACAAAAAAAAGGTCCCACTACTTTGTATTAGCGCAGAGGTGGAGGAAAAGCATAATTTAGCTTTTATTTCTAGTAAGCATGTAAGCAAGTTAAGCAAGTTTTATTGAAGAAATAGCCACAACATTAATTGAAGTTTTTTGTTAATAGTGGCTTATTACGACTCCATTGATAAGTGACCGCTTGCTCTGGCTGGGATATGCTCACTATCATCCACACCTTGTTGGGAGAGAATTCCTCTCCTCCTTGTCAAGTCCAAACCTTGGTAGCCAATTGTAAGGTGTTAATTGATTTTATTTGCCCCTGCTTTCTTAAGTTTGTACAATGTTCTTGCAATAGAGCTGCGCATATCTTAGCTAGGCATGCTCTTTCTCTGTCTCACCACTACACCTGTTCTTGTGCACCTCTTTTCATTGTACAAGCTTTACAAGTTGATCTTGCTTTGAGTGGTTAATGAATTTTGTTTTTTGGTTTAAAAAATAAAGTTTTATATCTTTTCCATTTTTTAAAAAGACAAGCATTATATTTAAGGTTATTCATATTAGCAAACCTGTAATATATGTTATAATAGAATATATATTAGAAAATGAGGATAGAAGTGAGAATCAGATATTTACGTATGTCACTTTTACACATGGTTTCAAATGTCGCTAATGTCACCCGACATATGTCGATGTCGAGGTTCACCGACATGGAAATGGATGGTAGTATAAAAATTACATTATTTCGGTCAACATTTCCTATATTTCAGAAATGTCGACCAAATCGGTCCAAATAACCAAAGAAGACAGTTTTTCCTATTATGTCGACAGGATGTCAATAATATTGATAGGATGTCGACTAATGTACATTAAAAATATAATATATTAGTATATTATATTATTATAATACAGTATATTAATATAAATTAATCCCATTAATAATTTCTATTTAATATTTCAAATAAAATATTTATAAAAAAGAATTAACAAAATATAAAAACAAAAGAATAAATTAATTACTTTATAATATAAAACATAAAATATTTTTTAAGTAACAAAATATTAATCGGTTAGTACTTTTTAAAATATTTATTAAAATCAGAAAATGTTTATCAAATTTTATAATAAATCATATTCTACATTTAATATAAAAATCAGAATAAATTTATTAAACTTTATACTAAATCATAATTTATTATAAGTTTAGTATTAAAAATCATAATAAATTCATTAAATTTTATAAGAAATCAGAATTTGTCATAACCTTAATACTACAAAAAGGAGAATCAGTTTATTAAATTTATAATAAAACATAATGTATTATAACTTTAATATTTAAAAAATCAGAATAAATGTATTTCTATTTACTGGCATGAAATAAAGATATTAGAATTTATAATAAATCAGAGTTAAAAATAAGAAAAGAAAATATCAGATAACCTTGTAAAAACATCAAAATGTATAATAGATTAGTAAACCATCATTTACTAATTTGTTATTGATCTTAGTTTCTTAGCTTTATATAATGTTGGGAATAAGATAATAGTCTAGAAATATGTATTAATGCTTCTTTTATCATTTTACTAAATATCATTGCATATTTCCACGTCTCTAATTTTTACAATATTTCCCCTCAACATTTCCGACATATGTCCTATATTTTGGTAAGCGACATTTCCATCGACATCGACATTTTAAACCTTGCTTTTACATACATGGAAAACACTCATTTTAATTGCTTAAACCAGCTCTTAACCCTGCAATTTCATTTACATTAATTGCAAACATAAGATGCATCTTCCCCGCATGAACTGACAGGGTTGTTAGGTTGAGATAGAATAAAATTATCATTTTAGCATTATTTGATTGTATTTAAAGAAGGTTTAAAATTTGCTTCTATTAAGGAAATGTTAATTTAATGAAGAGTTTTAGCTTTGAGTGATTGTCTATATGTAGATGTTTGTGCATAATACTATGACTTTTTCCTCTTTCTTTCATTTAGTCTTCTTTATCTTCCTGTGCACCACACGGGTCTGTTGCTAGTAATTTTCTTATAGACAAACTGATGCTTATCCCCCAACATTAGTTTGAGGGGGAGTGTAGAGAAGATGGAAGGTAGTTATGTAATTTTATCTTTCTGTCTTGTATTTTAGTAGGTGCGTGCATTAATGTACAGCTGCTTTAATTCTTTTGTAATGACAAACTTGTCCGTTCATATTTCTTTAATATAAATACTCTCTTTTTGGGTTGGTTCGATCAGATTGATCAACCCTAACAGATCTGGACTATTGGCTTTCCTCTTGTCTCTTCACTTTCTCATGAACTAACACCCATAAGATAGAACAAGAAGGATGCATATTCCAGGACAAAGCTTCGTATATGCCATACAAATTCTACTATAGTATTTTTTTCTGCAGAAAAATGTTGTCATTTCATGATTCACATACCATAATAATAGCAAAGTTATGTTGAGTGAGATCTAGGTCATTTTTTAATGAATTAAAATAGATGCATAGAAATTTTTTTAGAGAAATATTCACTTTACCCCACCTCACATATTTTTATTTGTTTTCTGATTTTATTTTCCAAAACCCCCACCTATGATACAGTACCACCCCCTTGTATTGTGTCAGATTTCCCCACCTGTCACTATCCCCAACTGTACAAACAGGAAAAAAAGGAGAAATTGTGGGGTGGGGGCGAATAATAGATGCATAGAAATTACAGACCACTGGTATTTAAATCATGCAAGTTTCTCCTTTTTGTTCTTTTTTCTTCATTCATTCCTTTCCTCTTTCCATTTTCATAAACAAAATACATATTCTCTTTTTACTCTTACTAAGCTGAGAGAAAATAATTTACGAATCCCATCCCAAGGAAGTTATTCATGTAACTAAAGTCTTCTCTAAACTGAAACTTGGATTGGTGGGGCAGGACCAACAAAAAATTTCAAGAAGGTGTATAAGAGAAATGCGCGAAGAAAGTTGGACCAACCGTTGACGGTGGAGGTGGGTTTGGGCCTCAGGTGGGGAAGGGTTTGCTAGGAAAGCCTTTGAGGAGTTTGAGAGGAAAAGGAGAGAAGAGAGCTTGAAGAAAGTGGTTACTAGGGGAGGGGAAGAGACTTGGAACAAAGAAGACGAAGGTCAAGACAAAGGTCTTGAAGAGGAGGATTGAGGAGAGGGCCAGTGTTTGCTAGTGTTTGCCAGTGTTCGGTTCCAGAATGTCAGGACAAAGGTCTTGAGCAGGTGTGCAGCAGTCTTTTGATTTAGGGGTAAAAGGGTGTTTTTAATGTCCTTTGTTTCAGTCTATTGGATTTTTGGATGTTTGAGGTCTAGTGCATTGTCTGTTTTGATTTCAGTGAGTGTTTTGAGTGTTCAGTGTCTCTCTCGGGTGATTTCTTATTACCTTCGTCTTGTAATCTTTCTTTTTTATGAAATTTATTATTACTTCTCAAAAAAAAAAAAAAAAAACAAATAGGATGCCATTTGAAATAGAAGCTTCTGTCAGACCGCTCTTCCTTGTCACTTTTGCAATAGCATCTCATGGCTCAAAAATGATATCACTTAAGAAGATCTGAAGGATGAAAACAAATCTATGCAAAGTTATATTTGCCAAGCATGTAATCACAGAAATGGACAAAAACTGAAGAAATTGATTAGCCAAATTTTCAGTTCTCCAGATGGGAGACAACAATAGGAAAGAAAGATAAAACATGTCCATTGTCCAGGTTTCACCCTATCTGTGCTATTTGATCTTAGTTTCTCATTTGATGGATGGCCCTGGACTTAGAAAAAGAAAAAGAAAATAATCCGAGTCTCTAATGTGAGTACATACTCTAACTTGAATTTCTAAATCTACAAAGCCATTCCGCATGGAAAATCCAGTCTCTTACAAGTAGAAGTATCAAAATATAAATCAAAGATTAACCAAGCATTCTTGTCTTTGAACAGAGGAAAATTATAAATTTATACTAGCACTTTCTGTTTCTTTAAAAAACAGCTTAACAGAAATAGGTGGTTGAGCCAACATCTTAGTTGAAATGATACTGTTGGCCCTTTAATGATACTATTTGTCAAGAGGGTGAAGTATGGGAGCTTAACCTATGATACCCAGATACCTCTACAAGGTGCCGGATCATGTTGGGTACTTAAATTTTTAGAGTAAAGTCCATATCCAACAACTTGTCCACCCATGCCCTTGCTGTATTTGGGTAACATCGACAACCCCTACTTCACCCTGATAGCACATGTCCAGAAGATGGGAATGGGAGTAGATAAGGAACTAGCACAAAAATAAACTTGGAACCCAATGGTTCACAAAGTTATGCAGTCAGTAACATATTTAAAGAATTTTCTGCTAAATAACATGAAATTATCAAGCCACCTAGAACAATGAAATACCTTCAGTAGATGAATCAAGTTCTATAATCCACTCTTGGTTCCCTTGTATAGAATATTTGTCAAATAAGGCATCTAAAATGATTGAAATCAAGAGATCAACCATTTCATCTCCATTTTTTCCATCATTTGCTCTCTTATTAAACTCCAAGTCAAAATACAAATGACATGGTAGACCCTGGAAGTAGCAGTTAGTTTGTCAGGATTTACTGAAAGAGAAAACCTTGAAAATGGCTCAAAACAGTGTCAAGATGTCTCCAAATAATGAATTCCAGTGTCAAAATATATTAACTAGTGTTGCTAAGTGACTCAAAGCAATCGATTCCAGTGTCAGAATGTTCCATAAACATCAACTCTTTGGATATGCCAAAAGATTATATCATCTTTGCTGAGGACAGAGGACCCATCCCAACTTACTACTCTACTAGTTAAGGCTATCTCTGAAATGGAATTTTTGAATTTACATGAATAAGATCTCGTGTGGATGATATCCGAGCATACTTTTATTGGTTCATCCCATCATATACAAAATTTATTAAGAGTGAATTAATGCCTCTAAATCTAAAAGCTGCTTCATGAACAAACGTTCAGTTAGTTACATGTTTTGATGCACCATATTTGTATCTAGATGAATGGTCATCCTTCTATCAAGCACAATGATTTAAAAGGCAAACCTAGGTGCACAAGCGAGGTGCATTTTAGGGTAGGCGCCTCGCTCGTGCGCCTAGGCATGCGCCTTTTGAAAACTTGATGCTTTTTCCTTTTTTCAGGTCTAGCGACTGGTCCGGGAGCCCCGGACCCCTGTGCCACACCCCTCTCCAAACAAGCCCATGTTAGGGTCTTAAATTCTTAGTTTTCACACAAAAAATAATAATTTTAAGACCCTAACATGGACTTGTTTGGGCTAGCCTCAAGGGCGTGGCACAAAGGCAGCTCGTAGAATTGGGAATGTAATATGTCACATTAGCTACTTGATGTAATTGCGAAAAAAAGAGATTGTGGGTTTTATATGCTTGAAAATGTTTTATATGTTTGATTTCATTTTTAAATTCTCATTTGAATATGCTTTACACATATTATGTTTATGTTTTATAATTTTTTTGCTTTTTTTGTATTTTTTTTATTTTTTAGATTTTTTTTAATTGTGCGCCTCGCCTTGCGCCTCAGGCGCAAAATAGCCCTTGCGCCTTTTTTGCGTCGTTCGCTTTTAAAACACTGATCAAGCATTATGAACAAAACAAGGAAAAAAAACAAAAATTCCATTAATCATCTTTGATGTCTAACAACCGGTTACTAACCTAATATGCTAATCAAAACAGAAAAGAAAGAAAAGATAACATATGGATATAGGAAAAAGTTCAAAACCACTCCACTTAATGAATTCTTTTCATTAAATGTATTTGTATAAATGCCCTATCAAGAAAAAAAACAACAGATGTCATCACCTCTTGAATCACTTCATAATGATGGCGAAATTTGGGATCCATATTTTTGTACCTGAAACAACTCACTTTCAGTAAGAGACAATAGTTGAAAAGAAAAGAAGACAAAGTATGACTGTTAATGGCTGGGTAAATTGCTGAAACCTCCGCTGAAGTCTCTGACCAATGCTGAAACCTCCCCTGAACTTTCTGACACAGTTACAAGTAAACCCCCTCTGCTAGAATCCTCTAACAAGAGGCACAAAATGTCCAAAATACCCATGCAGTTACTATTGAGACTAGTTTTTACAGAAAAAAAAAATACAAACTTTATAAACAACAAAAAAAAGAGAATTTAAAGATGAAGCTTTACCTTTGGGTGATTGATATGAAGGCAAATTTGGAAAATAAATCAATTTCAGAAAAGAGAACGGAAGGGTTTTGGGCTAGCGATTCACTTGAAGAGAAAAATTGGAAAATAAACAGTTTGGTCAAAAGTATCTGCATGAGTATTTTGGACATTTTCATGCCTCTTTTTGGAGGATTCTAATAAAGGGGGTCTACTTGCGACTATGTCAAAAAGTTCAAGGAAGGTGATTGCAATTACCAAACTTCAGGGGAGGTTTCAGCAATTTATCCCTTAATGGTTAACAATACATAATTATAAAAGAAGAATAATAAAGATAACCTTCTCCAAAACTCAGCATATGTTGAGACAAGAAACCTTCTTTGTCCATTCAGATGATCTTGATAGCTGAAAACATGAGCATAGGCATGGCCCTTTGCAAATTTTATGGCCTCATCTTGCCTGGGGAATGTAGCCCAAACATCCTCCCTATAAAAACAATTGGCATGAGTAAACTCCTAAGAAGAAAAAATCATTTAAATGTGTGTTTACCTTGATTGCAAGCTATTTTGAGTTGTGAGATCTTCACGGATTTCATTTAACAATTTCAACAAACGGTATGGTCTTTTTGCTGGCACACCATACGGAGATCCATAAAAGATGACTGGAGATAGCTGCTTTCCACTGCTAAATGCAATTGCTTTAGCCATTGTTGTACCAGGCTGAAGGGATAATTATTCACATTAATGGGATTATGAGAAATTATAGATATAGTTCATTTGAGATGGACAGTAAACTAAAAGTCTAGATCTAGAACATGAAATGCCAATGGAACAAAGGAAGAAATTCTATCAGATAAATATAGAGATAATAGCAACTTCCAAACATTGATGTCCATCAGAAAGAGGACCATGTGACATGGAAGAAAAACAGAATGCAGTTTTGGCTTCTAAAGTTGAAACAGAGCCATGGTCTGTATCATTGCAGCTGATGTGTTGCCCATGTGTTCACTAGGCGACCAACTAAGCATTTTGGAGGCCTACCACCAAGGCAATGGACCAGATGAGCAATATAAAAATTTTGGTGGGGTAAATAAGCTATTATCCCCTTTTGTATATGGATATAATATAAGTTTGTCCTAGGGGTGAGCACAATTTGGTTAAAACCGAAAAACCAAACCGAAATTTTGGTTTTGGTTTAATTGGTTCAATTTAATCGGTGTTTTGGTCGGTTTCAGTTTTGGAATTCGGTTAATACACAATTCGGTTTTCGGTTTCGGTTCTCATGATTGACAGATCGGTTAACCGAAAAAACCTATTTAGTTTTGAAACTCTACATCATTGGGTCATTCGATGGGACACAATACAATTGTGGTCCCTGTTGCATCTAATGTTTTCCGAAAGCCCAAATTTATTAAACAATTAAATAAATCCAATAAAAGAGGGAATACGAATAGGCAGCCACCGCAGCCCGCAGCCCGCCTCCCTTTTCGTAGAAACCGATCAACAAAATAGTAGTTCTTCTTCACTTCTTCCTTCTAGTTTTACTGTTCTGAACTTTGTGACTTTTGATTTCTGAGTTTACCTTTGGCCTTTGAAACTTAGGATTTCAGAGACCCCAGAGAGACAGAGAGAGAGGCAGCAAGCCAGTGACGAGCTGACGACTTCAGTCCAGAGTTCAAATCCAGACTTTAGTCCTATTGTCCAAGACTCCAAGTGCACAGTGCCCAGCGTGGTAGTGCTAGACTGTTACGTCCAATTGCTTTGGTACATAAGTACTTCATGCTCATGCCCATTATTTCGGTTTTAACCAAAATATCCGAAATAACTGTAAAAAAAATCGGTTCGGTTTAATCGGTTTTAGTACATTTCGGTTTCGGTTTCGGTTTCAGTTTTTCATTTCACTAGATCGGTTCCTAAAATTTCGGTTTTGAACCGAAAAAACCAAATGCTCACCCCTAGTTTGTTCAATCCATTTTGGTCAATTTAAGTGTATGTAACCATAAAAGTTAGAGCTTTTTCCTTCACTTCAAACAAGGGAGACCATTCCAACTTCTGGAAAATTTGTCCTTTATTTCCTAAAAACCATGGGTCCATGCAATTTCTAGCTTTATAGCAGCAACAGCAAGTCTTTAATTATCCCGCTACATAGTTACCTTGTTTGGCCATTCCACTCTATCTAGGGCCACATCCATGGTTAAATTGTAAGCCCTATAATCATTTCTCACTGCTTCAGCTCATGTTCTTTTTAGTCTGCATTTAGCTCTTCTAGACCCTTCAACTTGTGTCAACTCAATTTTTCTTACTAATGTAGTATATAGCATTGCATGAAAAGGCCCACGCATATTAGTCTACTTTCTCTTATTTTATCATACTAGTAAATGTGCACATGCATTGCACGTAACAATTTTAGATGATAATAGTTGTAATAACAATAACACAAAAAACAGATTTATTTTTATGTAAATTTTAAACTTTTTGCTCTGTTTTCATTATCAATAATAACAACTCTTTTTTATATAATGTGATGACTGTATAAGACCTAGGTTATTGAATTTCTGAACCATTCCTTGAATGGAAAACATTTTCCTTTTAAAGACAATTATACATTTTGTATACCATTTCCAACATCAATAAAAATATTCTTATTTGTCAAACTTATTTTCTTTAATATGATGGCTATATAATAGTAGAGATGTGCCAAATTTCTACTATTTTTTGTATTTTTATATTTTTAAATTTTATTATTCAATTATAATTGTTCTCTTACAAGAAAAGAGGAAGAAGAAAGGAGAAGAGAAGAGGAAGAAAAATTATGTGAGAGTCAAAAGAACTATGCTGGTGGCGCCCAGCTTCTACTTTATCTTAATGTGATATAACAAATAAAATATAAAGAAATTACAAGAAGGTCCCTAGCGGCACACCCTAAAATAAAGAAAAGAACATGCTGACAGCAGCCTAGGCTGACAGCATTCTAACAGCAGAAGTAAAAAACTTAAATCTAACAACACTCCCCCTCAAGTTGGGTTGAATATATCTATCATGCCCAACTTGTCACACAACTCATTGTGCCACAGGTGTGGAAGTCCTTTTGTGAGAATATCAGCAAGTTGCTCCTTGGATTTGACATAAGGAGTACAAATTTCTCCATTTTCCAATTTTTCTCTTATGAAGTGCTTGTCCACCTCAATGTGCTTGATCCTATCATATAGAACTGGATTACTAGCAATGTTAATGGCTGCCTTATTGTCATAGTAGAGGGACATAGGATTGTGGACAATAACCCCGAGTTCCCCTAAAAGGTTCTTCAACCAAAGAACTTCAGCCAACCCATGTGCCATAACTCTATACTCTGCTTCAGCACTTGACCTTGCCACTACACCTTGTTTCTTACTTCTCCATGTCACTAGATTTCCTCCTACAAATGTATACCCACTTGTGGACTTTCTATCATCCACAACACCTGCCCAGTCAGCATCTGTTTAGACTTCCACTTTTAGATGATTATGTTTGCTGAATAGCAACCTTATTCCTGGATACTTCTTCAAATACCTAAGAATCCTCTCTGCTACCTCCATGTGTGGTCTCTTAGGATAAGCATGAATTGGCTTAGGACCTCAACTGAGTAAGCAATGTTAGGGCATGTAATGGACAAATAAAACAACCTTCCCACTAATCTTTGAAACTGTTTCACATCTTTTAGTGGCTCACCATCACAATTTCCTAGTTTATGGTCAACATCCATAGGAGTATCTATTGGTTTTGCACCTAACTTGCCTGTATCCTGTAACATATCTAGGATATACTTCCTTTGAGAGATGAAGATGCCCCTTTTTGAGCAAGCAACCTCAATTCCAAGAAAGTACTTTAGGAGACCTAGATCTTTCATTCAAATTGAGAGGCTAGGAATTCCTTCAACTTTTGTATTTCTATGCTCTAGTTTCCTGTAATGGTTATATAATCTACGTACACTATCAGCACAGCCATTTGTTCTTGACATCTCTTCATAAAGAGTGTGATCAGACTGACATTGCTTGAACCCTACTTGTTGAACCACCATATGAAATTTATTGAACCACCTCTAGGAGATTGTTTTAGACCATAGAGGGACTTTCTTAGTTTGCACACCTTACTTTCACTTCCTTTGGCACAAAAACCTAGGGGTTAAACCATGTACACTTCCTATAGATCACCATTTAAAAAGGCATTCTTTATATCCAATTGATGCAATTTCCGATCAAAGTTTGCAGCCAATGATAGAAGAACCCGTATTGAATTCATCTTAGCTACTAGAGCAAATGTCTCATCATAGTCAACACCATAAACTTGGGTGTACCCTTTAGCTACCAGCCTTGCTTTGTATCTTTCAACTGTCCCATCTACCCTGTGTTTCACTGTAAACACCCACTTACACCCCACTAGGTCTTTCCTATTGGAAGATCCACCAACTCCCATGTTTGATTCTTATGGAGGGTAGTGATCTCCTCCTTCATAGCATTTGTCCATTCAGGATATTTTAAAGCCTTTGCCACATTTCTGGGAATGGGAATACTTTCAATTGCAGAAGGGGAAATGTGGTCACAGGACATACTGGGTAATGGGGTGTTTGGTAGTGCATGACCTGACCCCCTTTCTATGAGCAATAGGAATGTCAAGGTCATCCACAACCGAAACGGGAGCTAGGGGATCAACAAGTGTTGGACTTACCTCCTGGGAATCAAACAGTGTTGGTTGCTTAGTGTTTGGTGGCTCCACATCTTTGTCACATTGCTAATCTCTACAGTGTTGACGTTGGAAGACATGAAAACGAGCTAGATCCAGAATAGAAGGAAGGGAGACCTGGACCTGCTTCTCCTCTTCCACATTACTCTCCCCCTGAGGGGAAGCAAGGAAGAACGATTCAAACTCAAAAAAAAAGAGACATCCATGGAGACAAAGAGCTTATGGCCAACGGGATCAAAGCATCGATACCCCTTTTGTGAGGAAGGATACCCCAGAAAGACACATGGAATAGACCGATGACCCAACTTACCATGAGACAGGGATAAGTCACAGACAAAAGCACGACAACCAAACACCCTTATGGGAATGAAAAATAAAGGAAACTGATTGATCAAAAAATAAATAAATAAAGGAAACTGAGGAAACAATAACTAATGAGGGGCCTTGTAGTTTAACACTCTGGAGGGCATGCAGTTTATGACATAAGTAGCAACAAGTACAACATCAGCCCAAAAACATTTGGGAACATTCATATGTAACATCATACCTCGGGCTACCTCAAGGAGGTGTCTATTCTTTCTTTCTGCAACACCGTTTTGTTGTGGTGCTCTTGCACATGAGCTCTTATGAATAGATCCATGGGAAGCAAAGAACTCATTTAGCTCACCATGGAAATATTCCTTCACATTATCGGATTGAAAAATCTTAATTTCAACATGAAACTATGTAAACACCATCCTTTGGAAATCTTTGCTACACATGGGAAATACCCATGTATAGCGGGAGAAATCATCAATCAATGTGATAAGGTACTTATACCCGCCCTCTAAAGTTATGTTAGTAGGTCCCCACACATCAGAATACATAATATGGAAAGGGAAACTTGATCTTTTATTACTTAAAGGAAATACTGTTCTACATTGCTTGCTCAACTGACACGTTTGACAATGGAAATCTGACACTGAACAGGACTTAAATAAAAAAGAAAACAAAGACTTTAT